CAGTCTGCACGTGCCCTGCTGTAGGGCAAGGGGCCAGCGACCCCTGCCCACAGAATCTTCCTCTCACCATCATCTTTCTCACCCCTATGGATGACCTCTACCATTGTGTTTCAAAGGTATTTGTATCTATCTTGCAGTAGGGAGCCAAGCCAAAGAGAAACTCAGCTCTGATAATAGGGGACATCCAGCTGACTTGCTAAAAAACACAATGGACCTTTCAGTTAACTTGTGCCATAAAGTTACATTGTACAATACTCCAGCTGGTTTCACATTCCAATATAATTTCTTTCTCACACCTCTATGCACCATTGATCATCTAATTCAAAAGTACCCCCCCTACACTTGTAGAAAAGGCAATATCCTGAGGTCACTTCACTTGGAGAGTCCCATTCCCTGGGAAACCCCCCTGGATGCAGCTCAGGGATGTGCTTCTGTGCACAGAGCTGCCCGTGTCCATCCTTCAGGCCGTGGGGCATCTCGGGCAGGGCAGAGCAGGTGACACCCCACAGGGCTGAGGGGCCTCCAGCCCCTGGCAGTGGCAGTAGGAGCCAGGGAGACACTGCCCCTGCTGCCAGGAACTGGGGGTGTGTGTGCAAGGGAAGGACTCCTGTCTCTGCACAGCCCTGGGGGTGTGAGCAGGGCAGGAGCCCAGCTCAGCTCTGGAGCCCTGTCAGAACCCTGACAGGTCTGGGGGTGACTCCAGGAACAGCCTTCACTGGCCCAGGGACATTCATCTCCCCAGCCTCACACACATCCACTGCAAATGGCCCTGTCTCCTCCATCACCCTCCTCTGCCTTTCTGGCCTGGCCCTTTCATTCCACACCAGCAAAGCAGCCTGGGCACCATCTCACCTGGGCACTCAGAGGGCTTCTGTGAGCAGTAGGGGTAGATTTCTCTGGAAGGTGCATTTGTCCCCTGTCACATGGTACAGGGCACAGCTCAGAGTGTGAAAACACTCCCAGGCACACACATCCTGGAGAGCTTTTTCAAGACAAAAACAGGGAAAGGAAGAACAAAAGAGGCAAAATGAGAGAGATGAAAGGTGCCCCAAAAATCAGGAGCTTCCTCTGAGCCCTGTTTCCATAATGGAATCACTGGTGGGATATTTACTTTGATAAGCAGCTGCACAAAACTATTCATGTAGACAATGAAAGAATCAGCTTAATAGAATATATAGAAGGTGTTGTCAATGGAAATGAAAAAAATCCGGAGAAAAATTAACGGATCTGAGTGTGGACTCTCCGCTGGATTTTCCCGGAGTGAGATTTAGTCACGCGGTCCCCCTTTTGCAGGAGGAGAGAGTGACTAAGCTTCCTCTCGGTGTTCCGTGGCGAAAAGACCTTTATTCCAAACCTCCCACGGTTTATATGGGCTCAGGGGGAGGGTAAGAAGAAGGGCCGTGATTGGGTCAAGGTATGGGGGGAAGGGAGTGGCTCGAGAGCCCCACTGAGATGGGAGATACAGGAGGACCACGTTCCAGTAACAGAAACAGGGACTTGGGGAGAGGCGGGCGAGGCAGCGTCTCCTGCTTGTCCGCGGTCCAGGAGGGGAGACAACGTGGCTCCGAGCGGGGGAGCCGTGTGGGTCGGGAAAAATACACCGCTTGGGGGGGCAACTCCTACAATAAATAACGCAAGTGGCCGTTGTTCTTCTGCTTCGTTCGATCCCGGAAGTCGCCGCTGCAGCGGACCCGCGTCTAAAGCTGCTCTTTCCAAGCCTCATAGTCCTGGTGTTCGCCTGTGTCGCTGATAATGTCGGAACGGCCAAAGCGACACAGATATCAGACGTAGTCCAGGTGTAAGGTGATCAGGAAGCTGTTTATTGCTCTCAAGTGTTTCTTTTATACTCTTTGTACACTATGGTGCCACAACACAATTGGTCAAAAGTCTCAAGCATAAAAAACTGTAGGCACTGCACACACTCTTATTGGTGACACTGAAGACACTGTGCATGCTGTGACATGCTATTGGTGACACTGTACACATTTTAATTGGTGACCTTTGGTCTGGGCTGCATTACGTTTGTTCTGTCCGGCATCACAGTAAATATTTCCTAAAAGTTGTTTACATTCCTTGTCACTAATTGCCAGGCTGCTGACAGGTTCTCTGTCAACCCCGACAATTCCCCCTCTTTTTTTATTTTATGCCGCAAAGATGTCTTTGACATCATTAAACTGTTCAACTGTTCAACTCAGCACCTTCCCAAAGCTTAAAAGGCTTTGGCAAAAAAGTGTCTTCTGTCACTCATGCAAAAAATTTAGTTTGCTCGGTTTAGATTCTCAGAATGATCCTATTAGTTTTCAAAATACAAGCTTCACTGAACTCAGCTTGACAGTTGGAGCTGTTCGAGGGTCTAAATCTGGAATTCAAAGGTAAGAAAAAAATGACAGAGAATGGAGGAAAAATACACCTTTTTTTTTTTCTTCCTTTTTTAAAGAAAGGAGCATTTAGCAACACCAGGAAACTGGATAATAGAGCCTCTTGGGAAGAGGACTGCAGAAGGTGTAACTCCAATCTATAGTAAGAAACAAAGGTACCAAAATGTATAATGAGACATCTTTGAGTTCTCTAATTACCTCAGGATCAAAAGAAACTGAAGAGTAAATATTTGTGTAATGAATAGCAAGAAACAGAGGGATCAAATGGGAAACACCAAAAAGAAATTACACCAAAAGCAAGGGAAGAAAAATTAAATAAAGAGTACTGCATGTCTAGGACAAACACAGTTTAGAAAAGGTTGAATTGTTCAATGTTGAGAAGCAAATTAAGGATCCCTACATACTTAGGGCAATTTACTTTAATAAGGGAACCAACACAGAATTCAAACACAGAAAGTCTGGATTGTTGAAATATAGATACAGCAAGTCACTCCACCCGACCAGACATGGGCATATTCCTCCTACAACACTTGGAGAAGGAATTAAGGCAACCCAGGAGTCAGGAGCAATTATCTTCCAAAGCAGCAGAGAAATGGGGTGATGGATAAGGCTGGAGAAGTGCAGAGCACTCAGCCTTTACCATCAGGAAAGGAAAGCCCATCAACCTAAAAATCAGTACTTCCAAACTGACCCAGTTTAAACTTTTCTGCGACCTAAGACCTCACAAAGTTAACAACAAGCAGATGCAGCCCATCACTCATATTCTCCAAAGATCAAGGTAGAAGTTCAAGAGTTAAATTATATTTGCAGAAATCAGCATTGACTCCTGGATAACCACTAACTAAAGAATATTCTCACCAGTTTTAATGCATCTTCCTTTCAGACACACGGATTTATGGATAATATGTGTTTCTCAAGTCACTATCCTTTCCATTGCCACTGCTGATGGGGAAAAAAAGGAGTGACTGTTTGGAGACTTTTTTTCCTCAGCTTGTTCCCCTCAGAGATTCACACTGTTTTCCCTAAGTGTGCCTCCAGCTTGTAATCTTAATGACCACAGAAACATTCAGCAGTGGATATTTCTGGTAAGGCTTTATTTCACCTTCAATAAAAATGCCCCCAGTAAATATAAATATTCATTTCTGTCAATAGTGGGCTCCCCTGTCATCCTTAAAAATATAGATACAGTTGATCTGAAATTACTGGCAAAACAACTTCCACTCTTTCTACAGAGAGTAATTGCTTTGTAGAAAAGTTCAGATCATAACAATTTTTCATTTTTTTTCCTAAAAGTTCCTTTTGTAATTTCAGAGATTTTTTTTTTCCCAAAGTTCCACCTGCTTTCACTAATAGTGAATCTGGCAGGAAGTTGTTTGAAAAAATAGACTAAAGTGGGAGGGGGATTGAACACAATGAAGTGAGAGAGAGGAAAGAAAACACCGAACTGGAGGAGCATCTACATCGTACGTACCGGTCTGGGCAGGGAAGCATGGGAGGAGCAGCAGACAGAGAGATGCAGCTGGGAGACACAACATCCACAGCATTTTCAAAGGTCTCTTTAGTTGCTCTCTACAATCTGACTGATGAGTTAAAGACCTGAGGAAAGGGTTGATGCCCCAAGCTGGCCTGTTACCTTTCAGCTACATCAGCTCTCTACTAAAAGAAGCCAGCAAGATGCTGCTTTTGCTTTTCTATTACAATGAATGTGACTTCACACTAAAACCGCCCCTGGTTTCCTGCTACTGAGCAACTCCCAGCCCTGAGGGCAGGAGTAGAAAGTTGTCTATGATAAGCACCCACCTTCCCTTTGAAGACAACTGAGATCAGAGACACTCACTCAAATTTGCCCTTCACAGTGCCCAAGTCAGGCAGTTGTCCTTCAGGTGTAGCCTCAGTGGAAATGTGGGTGCTGGGTACAATCAGTTCAGTCTGTCACTGTTCCCACAGGCTTAGATTGGTGGCTGCAAAAGCAAAAGCCTTGGCTTTGTAAGGAGCAAGGAGATGAGAGATGCTCCGTTACTTCAGGTAAACCTGCAATTATTATACCAGCCCTGCACACAAACCAGCAACTTTGATCTGCATCTTGGCAGTGACAACAGGAATAAATTCCCAAGCAACAGCACAGGACGTACCTCTCACGTGCCCCTGGCTTCACATTTAACAACCCTTTCTGTGTGTCTGCAGTGCACAAGAGCTGAAAACCACCAGCAAAGGGGAACCAGCTACAGCTCACATGTAGCTCCTGCTCCCTCCCCAAGAGGATGAAAAGCTCTTCTTGTGGGCACTGCTCTCCATGGGAATACAGAGGGGAAGGGGGTGTTCCCAAAGAATTTCTTGAACGCTTGAAAGTTCAGAAATTTCACCAATTATTGCAAAGGAAAGAGAGTTCAAGCAGGTTGTGAAATGAGCTTTCAATTAGCTGCACAAAGGCTCACTGCTGGATAGAAAAGCAGATGCCAGGAGACATCTCTTACTCCCTATCTTTACTTTTGCCATATTTAAGAAATGAATCACGACAATAATACTGGATTGTGAGTTTGGGAATGATGGGATAGTGATGCTTTGTCAAGGAGATTAACAGAGCAAATAACATTATCATCAATACAGGGTTACCAAGGAATAGCCAGTTCTTAAGGAGATGTTTTATTGTCACTAGTATAGTAACACAAATTGAGAACTAAAATCAGTCAACAGAAGTTGCAGCTACAAAATTATGGCATTTGGTGAGTTAGGCATCTTAGTACTGTTTGTCCTTTTTTTATTTCATCAGATGATCTTTATGGCATTTGGTGAGTTAGGCATCTTAGTACTGTTTGTCCTTTTTTTATTTCGTCAGATGATCTTCCAACCCAAACCATTCCATAATTCTGTGAATAAAAATATTTGCCTATCTATGCATATTGAAAAACACAAAGCACTTGCTGAGGACGAATCCTATAGACATCTCCAGAAAGCAGAGCACACAGCTGGAGACAATTCAGCAGGTTTAAGGCTGTGCTGCTGAGTCAGCCACACACCTTGTGATAGCTGCTGTCCTCAGCCAAACACCGCCAGAGGATGGGAGATCCAGGGTGCTGCTCGTGCTGCTCATGAAGGCCTGGAGCTGGACAACTGTGGCAATCACAGTCCTCGGTGAACATGTGGATGTGGTGAAGGTGCATTTGTGAAAAAAAGACCGTTTGTGAATATGGGACCATGAGGTCTCATGGAAATCAGCCTCTGTTGCTTTAGCTGGTTGCTGTACATCAGGACAGAGGAAGATGCTGCTGGCATAGAGGTCTTCTTATTTGTAGATGGTCTTCAAACATAGTTGAGCTTTTTTTCTTCTGAAGCTTGTCTGTGTTCCCTAAGAGCTGTAGAATTGAAAGAAAAATATCTGTGAGGCCAAAAAGGGCACAGGTTGATTTCAGTGAGAATTGTAATCCATCTGCAGTGGGAAGTCCTCCAGGCACCTCCCTGTCCCATCTGCTACTGGACCACCTCTTGCTCTGAAAGCTGAAAACACATCTAGTCCTTCACTGAATACCCTCCTGCCACTGTAGTGGCACTGTGATTTCATCACTGACCCTAATTAAACTCCCAAAAGGGAAATCTTAGAATAGAATCATAGAATCGTTTAGGTTGGAAAAGACCTCCAAGATCATTGAGTCCAACCTTTAACATTCTAGAGACAATTTAACAGTAAAAGATCTGATGGAATGCTATGACAGTCTTAGGAAAACAACAGGGAAGAAGTACCAGCATTAGCAAGGATTTCTTTAGAGGAACTAAAACTAACAGACTTGGAAATTGTTTTTTCCCAATTTATGTTTTACTGCAATTACTGATCAACTCACTGTTACCCATCTCAGACAGACCCACAGGCCTTGTGTTTCTCCACAAATCCCCACCAGGAATGGCAGGTGGGATGCTTTGCCATATGACAGCACAGTTGCATCCCAAGTCCTAGTCTGTATTGGAGCCCAACTATTTCTGGAGTAAGAGGTGGTTTAATATTAGCTCACTTGAAGAACAGAGGCCTCTGGTGGTCTAGTGGTTAGGGTGCAGGACTCTCACTGCTGCAACCCGGGTTTGATTCCCAGCCCCCCGGGCAGATGGAGCTCGTCAGCCTTGTAAGGCAATCCATCTAAGAGAAGGTCACTCTAAACAAACCTACGTTCTGAGACCCTCACTGCCACTGTCCAAGTTTGCTTGGCCCCGGCAGATGAACCTCAGGATTAAAGGGTGGGCTCAGTTCAGCGCACAGTGTGTCTCACCTAAAAAAATCCACTGCGCAGGCTCGAAGGGTTAATGACCTTTCCCAAATCTTTGCTCGCGAAGACTGGCCATTATTTACTTGAAGAACACAGTGGTTTCTGTGTTGGGACGGAGGAGGGAAGAGCAGAGGGTAATACAGAGGAAGGCTGGTGTTTCCAGATTTTATTCACATAATTCTCTATTTATGCCACAGAGCCTATCCCAGCTATTTCCACCCATATTAGTTTGCAACACAAACTTCCCTCTTGGCCACATTTAGGAAAATATTTTCTCTTAAATTAAAGGTGGCTCTTTGGTGGGCAGAGCTGTGAGTGGGAACCATTCTCCTAAAGGACCTGTCAGCTCACACCTGGATGTCCATCAGTCTCCTGGGCTGGGACATGTCTCTGCAGGGGGACCTGCACAGTCTGGGATCACTCCAGGGAACTGGATCCCACAGATGGAAGGCTGAGCCCTGCCATTGCTTCCTCCTCACTTCAGGAGGGAGCAGTGAGGAAATTTATTCTGTGCTTATTTTTCATAACAAACCCATCTAGACAACATAATGGAGATGAAATCCAGGAAGAACACCCTGTATGCTTGTCCCACTACCAGGTGTGGAACCCACAGGAAACCAACAATTTGTCAGATAGTACCTTGACTAATCCAATGCCAGCAATAGGAATACACAGAGACCATTCCTGCCCAAACCACAACGCACAGCAGGAATGTGAGGGAGATCATGCCCTCATTCCTGGTGGGAAATTCAGGATTACCTGGAGAGTAGAAGAAAATAAAGAGAAGCCCAGTGAATCAAGCAGATATGCCAAGGTATGAGCCTGCCTCATAAGCACCACCCTGAGGAACTGAGCATGAGCAAAGTCCCCCACAACAGCTGATAAAGAGAGAGGGAACCTATGGATGAGAGAACAAATAGGCTCTGGCTCAGGATACCTTAATGAAGATACCTGTAACAATGCTGACTTCATCAATATTCAAAGCTAATTCTTGACTCCCCACCACAACAGATACCAATGAATGTTTTCCTCTTCCAAAAAACCCCAAACCAAGAGATGTGAGAGCCATCCTTAATGATGGCTTCAAAGGCCATTAAGGAAATCCACTTCGACTGGTTTTTAAAGACCTGTTTGTCCATCACCTAAGGAAGACAACAGGGATTTCCACCGTGAAAGAAATTTGAATATAAAAATAACTTTATGTGACTTAATATAGAGGCAAAACTCACTTATCCCTGACTGGTAAGGGGAATTCTTGGGAACTGGCTACATGCTCATCATGTACCACCTTCCCTCAGCATCCCTGTATCTATTGCTCCATGTAAAACTCTGTTCACATCAAGCTCTATTGGCGAAACACTTTCAAAGCAAAGGGAAAACAAACTTGTGGAGAGATTAACCTGGAATTTCCTCACCAAGGATGCCAGTTGTTGGTTTTCCAGTTTCTGCATCTGACATTTCAATGTGGCACTTCAACGTAGGATTGGACTCCCAGACATTTGTTTCTGCTTCACAGCAAATTTTATTCTCCTCAGGACTGATGCTACCTCTCCCATTTGCTGAGAAAGCTGAAAAATAAAAGAAGTTTTAATTATAAATACGGATCAAGATCTTCAATCAAGGGTTCAAAAGGTTGAAGAGGTTCATAGGTTAAACAAGAGGATCATGTAGCACAGAAAGGTGGAGATTGCCGTGACTGCTATGAGTTGGAGATGTTTCATTCCCCAGCTGTTCAAATCAACTAGTGACATTTAGATTTCCTCCTCACTAAAGCTGATGAACTGTTCTGTGAACCAAACACGTTACGAGAAGGCAAAGAAAGTCTCACATGTAATTAAGAATACCAAAACATGTGTAAAAAGTTTAACATTACCTTGATGCAATTAAAAACCATTTTAATAACAATTAGGACACTATTTTGCAGCTCCCTTTTACCCACAGGAACCAAAGAGGGGAAACAAGCAAGACTAGCAGCTGTGTAGATCTCAGAGACCCCGGAGCACATCTCCCACTGACCCTGCATCCCACTGGGCCGTTATATAACTTAGTCCTCTTCCAAGAGAATCTTGAGAACTCCTTCCTGTCTACACATCCCAGGCTCAGCACCTCCACCTGTTACCCTCTCAAGGGACACAAGCACCCATGGCTACAGCAACTTCCAGTTTTCACTAGGGAGGTTTTAGTGTCACCCAAACTTTTCACAGTAGTAACAGCATGTAGATATATTGGTGAGCATAAAACAGGAGAGTAAAAGTCAATTTGTACTGACAGAAGCAGGTGGGATTCATACATTACAAACTGACACAGAATTTGACCATGAGAATTCATGTTAAAAAAAAAAAGAAAAGGAGAAAAAAAAAGCCTGTATAAATCAGAATAATATGTGTTTATGTGAAACCCTACTAGTGTAGTTTTAAGCAGTGTTAGACTCAAGAGAATTTTATTTATTTTTCTGAATTATTTGACTTTTTCTAGCAGAAGAACCTCATTTGGTCAAGTTAGTTTACTCATGAACATCACTGTCTGCACAAGTGTATAACAGTTCACTTTCATAACCAGAAATATGTTTCCCATCTGTTGATAACCAGGCTCCCAGCAGAGCATACCTGCAGAATTCAGGATGCCACACAAGTATCTCGCTCCCATCGTTTTAAGGCAGATGATGTCAGAAATTCCTTCAGGAAAAGTATTTGCTTGCTGAAAGCACATAAGGATGTGTTTTTCCTTGGTCACCAACTCAATTTTCCATTTGAAAACACCTAATTTTCTATTTCAGCAATTTTTACAAATCTTTCATAGCTGCCTGTTTCACATAAGCTCATTGCACAGTCTTTACGGTAGTCGACTGTCACATTTGTTTTGCCAGAGGAAGAGTCATGTGTCCTCTCAGCTGGGTGACCACTGGCCATGGCAATATCTAAAGGAGAAACAAAGAAAAAGTATTTTCTACCAGGTTACTCCCCATATGTTTAGTGTTACAGAATGGGATGAGTTTGGGTGAACAGGTCTGGTCATGGCTTCAGAGATATTGTCTGCCAATGGGCAAATTTTACACAGCACTGGGGCCAGTCCACCAGATAATTTGCGGGCAGAAATAGGATTTAATTTCCCCACTGCTGCAACTGTTTTAAACTAGGAAGTTGGCAGCTTGGGAAATTAGTTGAAAGGCTTTTCTCTTGCTGAGCTCAGATGAATCATCTCTTCTTGTTTCCTTTCCTTCCCAAGGCCTTGGCACAATCCTATCAGGTGTCACTCCAGCAGAGTGCCAGATCCCAAGACCAGTGAAGTTCACAGCTGCCAGACTGGACACACTGGGTGCAGTGTGCAGGTTTACTCATCCAGACTCTCCCGGGGAAAAGCCAGTCCTTCAGGAGAGGACTTGCCTCATCTGACATCAGACAGACTCAAAGAGTCATCCCTCCCAAAACAGGGCATTGGGAAGGTCAAACAAACCCACCTTCACCTTAATTTCTCTTCTCACCCTAGAGCTTTTGTGGGTTTAGCTTTAACTGGGCACAGCTGAGCTTTCTAATAACAGCTAAAAGCTTTTTAGCTACTGATGTGCAGGGAAAGGCACTGAGGTCGTACAAGGAGACTCACTTGGACAGGGAGCTGCAACAGCCAGGAGCAGGAAACACAACCCCATGAGGTGGGGAGAGTCCATCTCACTGCCCTGGGTGCTCAGTTCCAGCGGTGCTGGATGTTCTCTGAGATCCTCTGTGGTCCCAGGTCAGGCTCACCAGGCTCCTCCCTTAGTCTTCTTCCTGTTGGGACATTAAATACAGTGTTTAGCATCCATTATCTCTTATTATCTTTCTCCAGACAAAAAGAAATCAGCTGCCAGGCCAAGTGCTGTAAGGCTGCTCCTGGCCAAGACATCTGGAATGGAAGGAATGGAAGGCAAAGGAACAATCGTGCTGCTCAGCTGTCACTACAATGGCTTTTGCAAGTGCCAAACTCACACCCCTTTCCACCTCTGGCTCAATCACAGCAGTAGGAGACACGTGGTCCTTCTGCAAGGAAAGAGCAATCTCTCCTGAGCCTGTTGGGCAGGAGGCTCCATGTCCAGGTCCTCCAGGCTCCTCAAAAGCAGTGCCCTGCACACATCCCTCAGCAGTACATGCAACAAATAACAACCTGCCTCGCTGTCGCTTCCAAAACACACCAAAAAATTAGATAAGAAAGATATTTTGTGCTGAATGAGTGTTTCACTTGACGTAAGATGAAATATTTATTGTCAAATTGAACTCTGTTTTTAGTTTAGAAGTCTGACAGGAAATATCAGTTCAAACCAAATGAACAAACAAATGAAAACTTGGTATTTCTTTCCAAAAAATTTCCTGGCTTTAGTCAGAAGTTCATTCTCAGTCATTTCAATGAAACTGTCATGACTTTGTGAAATAAATAAATAATGGCCAGTCTTCACGAGTGAAGATTTGGGAAAGGTCATTAACCCTTCGAGCCTGCGCAGTGGATTTTTTAGGTGAGACCCAGCGTGCGCTGAACTGAGCCCACCCTTTAATCCTGAGGTTCATCTGCCGGGGCCGAGCAAACTTGGACATTGGCAGTGAGGGTCTCAGGATGTAGGTTTGTTTAGAGTGACCTTCTCTTAGATGGATTGCCTTACAAGGCTGACGAGCTCCATCTGCCCGGGGGGCTGGGAATCGAACCCGGGTCGCAGCGGTGAGAGTCCTGCACCCTAACCACTAGACCACCAGGGGCCCCTGGTGAAACATATTGTGAAATATATTTTAGTAAAATACAAGTTTCACTTTCCAAATAAGAAAAAAGAAAATTGAAAAAATTTAAAACCTTCTTTATCATCCTGGCTCTGGAAAACAGAACCTGCTTTGCTCTTGGGAGCTTTTCATTAGAAGCTTTCATTAAACAACTTTTTTGCTGTCACCACCTGAGAAGTACCTTGAGGAAATTTCCAAATTAATTATGCATTAATTCCTAATTATGCAGTAATTCTTCATCAGAACTTAATAAATGCTTGTCTCTCATGGTCTGTGTTAATCTAGAGCTGCTGAGAGTTCCACCCCAAAACCAGATGATACAGGAGAAACAAAACCCTCAAGGCAAGCCCATTCCAGCTGCCAGCAGGCACAGGAACCAGCTGCAAAAGTTCCCCTGGAATAAAATCCGGGATACCTCTGCAGTGCCTCAGGCTACTGACATCCACACATAGGATGTAAACCCAGGAAATGCTGGACCGAGCCGCCGTCCTGCCACTGCTCCACACGCACCTTCCGAGGCGAGATCCGTCCACTTCCACTGCACACCACACGGGGGACCAGTGATTCCACTTTACACACAGAGCTCCTGCTCCCCTCTCCAGAGGATTTCCTCTTGCCCCACCAAGGGTTAACAATAACCTTTTCTCATCCTCTTCCTATACATCCAAAAATGGATCCTATCTTTTCTTCTTTTCCAAAAGCAGGTCATTCAGTACCATCTCACACGTTACTTTATCCTGTCTCCTGCTGTGCAAAGCACCAGGTAACAATGCCTGTACCCTCCTCCCTTAAGGGACAGCAGAGTGCCAAGGGACTGTCATCAACCTTAAAATCACAGAATCATTAGGTTGGAAAAGACCCTTAAGATCATTGAGTCCAATTGTTATCCCAGCACTGCCAAATCCACCACTAGATCATGTCCCTAAGTGCTACATCTACATGTCTTTTAAGTCCTTCCAGAGTATTTATACCCCAGAGGATGCTCACCTCAGAGAACAGCTGCAGCACATCTGGCAGAATTATGTGCCCAGAGGTTAAGGTTTGTTTTTTCCCAAGTAGTTGTCAGCCTGAGGTCTGTATCTTCTATCCTCAGTCATTTTGTCTTCTCTTTAGAGGTCTTTTTGCCCCTTCCCTTGTTCTGCTTAAGAGATGTCTCCCTTCCTCTGCTCTCTGGTGAAATTCTTCCCCACTTCCCACTCTCCCAAAAGCCACCTCCTGCCATCAGTTTTAAACTTACTTCAACAATAAATCACTCAAATCTAAAATGAAACATGCTCTTTGAATAGAAAATATTTTTCATCCATTTTTTTGGCCTGCTTCCTTTTCTTTTCCAAGTAATACTAACTTTCCCTTTTCAGAGCTACTGAAGTTGTCTGCAGACCTGTAACAGAGTAAAGCCAGACCCTAAAAGAGATCACCTGCAGCAGTAGATGAGTAAAGCAACAAGCAGGAGGATCTAGGCTTCCTTCAGTTAACAGCAGCCACTCACACCCAGCTGACCAGCTCTTCCCCAGGTCACACCTGACCCATTAGCCTGAGGCCCCAGTATTTGCCAAGAAAGAAAGTCATTAATGCTATAGCATCACTTCCAGCAGTGTCCTCTCTCAAAGTTAAGAGTTAACTGACCCGAACAGTTAAGAGACCTGAAATACTCTCACCCATTTGTTGTGCTTATTCCTACTCCAGCACAAGTTAAATAGCTCACTGCCCTTCCAGTCTGTGTTTTCAGGCTTTCTGACTTCTGCCCAAGGTGACCAGAGCAGAGCTGTGGTGGGAGGTCACCCCAATCCCAGCCACGGGGGCTGGCAGAGCAGGGGTGCTGCCCCAGGGTTTGGATGTGCTTCCCTCTTCAGCCAACCATTAAGCATAGTCATGGACCCACAAAATCCAGTGCTGTTCTCCAGTTGTAAACAATGCAATACGTTTTCTAAAAGATTTATTTGGTACCCTAAAGACCCCACGGAGAATGCTTAAGTTTTCATCAGTTTGGGGAAAATAATACTACTGAAGGAAGTAAGGCTGCAACAGAATAAGCCCCAAAGAACTTCAGAAGATCCTACAGATTTTATTTTCTACTCTAAGTTCTTTCACAGAAAAGGAGCAGTATTTACAGAAGAGATAATTTTTCTATCACTTTCTGTACCAGTTTCACTCTTTGATCTCCTGAATACCACTCTCAACAAGCCTTTACAGGAAAAAAAACAACAAAATGAAATCATGGGAAGGGATGAAACAGCTCTTTCCTGAATGAGCCTATGACTGCAGTTTGTTTCTACAGCTCCAACAAGGCAGTGCAGAGAAAGAAACCAGCAGGACATTGTGGTTGAGCTGAGAAATCTCTGCAAAAATCCTGAATGTAAAGCACACTTTGGCTTTCCACCAACTGCTCTGAAAAGAAATTCCACAGTAACCATTAGAAAACATTACTAATTTTTTTTTATGCTTGCAGTGCATTAGGAAGAGTAGAATGAATGAACTTTTCCACTGATTTAACTTCTTTTATTTCAAAACCTCTGTCCTTATTTACTAATGCTCTGTGTTTTGGTTCTGTTTTGTTTCATTCTGAACCCAGAGCCACCAGGCTGGGGTTTTTGTTGCTTGATGAAGCTGTTGGGTTTCTGCACTCACACAATCAGTGTGAATTCAGTGCAGAGCTGCATCAAAGTTGCCAGCCAGGGCTACAGAAGTGGAGTTATTTAGTAAGAAAGATCACAAGCACCAGTAACACACATTCTTCCTTATGGAGAAAATGTGCAGTACACTAAACACTTCCCTCCTGCCACAGTCATTTTAGTGCCCACTTCTAAATGTCTACTTAAAAACCAGGAAGCAGGAATTTGTAAGAGAACAGACTGACTGTAAGACAGGACCTCTTAAAGAAGAAGACAGTGTGAGTATCTCAAAAGCTGCTTTGTCTGAGGAAGCTTTTGTGCCTCTTCCATTCCCTTCTCCGAGTGCCTGAGCAGTTCTTTCCAACTCTCAATCATTCAGCTCCTCTTCCAGAGCCCTGCACAGGACATGCAGAAGCCACTTGGATCCCAGAGAAACAGGCACACTACAGGTTCCTCCTTCTTTATAATGCAACTAGATTTCATAATGGATTTTCACTTTTACTTCTGGACTGAGGTCAGCAGTATCACTGAGGAATGCAACAAGGCAAGTCCAAACTGCTGTGTGGGATTCTGCAGTTGGAAAGCAGGGAAAAAAAACACACCTCATAAAAAGCTTTCCAGGAACCTGCTTGTGGTTAAACCTGGGCGGAAACCCTGTCCCTCTGGGCATTGCAACAGCAATGTAAAAGACTGGATTTGAGATCTGCTCCTAAGTCTGGCACTCCTTTGGCACTGCAGGGGGTCCCAGAGCAGGAGAATCTGAGGTGCTGAGCTTGGTTTGTTCCCTGGCAGGGATTAGTGCTGAAGGATACCCTGCTAGAACACACACCAGGGCAGCAGCAGCACTTCCGCTGTTTGACTGAAGTTGTGTCCATCACATAACTTGCCACAAGCCACTGGGACCAGAGGGAGGACAGAGGTAAACCAAAGGAACCCCTAAGGAGCAATTCCATTATAAACTCAGCTGACTCCGGCACCACAGGACAGGGGGAGGAAAATTTCAGTGCCCATAAGCACAGGGGACAGATGAGGGTAAAATCTGCTGCTTTCTTATCTCTGTTTTGGGTGGGGTTGTTTAGGGTGGCAAGGAGGCAAGTCAAGCTATCCAAGTTGATTTTAACCATCAGCAAAGCAGTACAAGGTTACAGCCAGGAAAGTGACCTGGAGAGTGGCTGACCCTCTCCTTTCCCTTCTTCCCTATAAGCCCAGGTAGATCCACAGAGCCATAAGCTCTTTTCCTTGACTTGACCGTTGTCCTTGGCACCCATAACAAGCTTTTCTCCTCCCTCAGCATTGCCCTGCAGTTCACAGTTGCCCTGTGCAAGGTGTCCCGCAGCCAGTCACAAGCAGCACTCCCAGGCTTGGGTTGCCATAAACTTTGTCTGGATCTAAAAATAGCAATGTTTCCTTCAA